CAAGGCTGTCCCAGCGTCAGACACGGGTGAGAGCCACAGCCCCCGGAGCCAGGGAGGGGCAGGCCCTGGGGAGCCCCAGGCCCTCCTCTCTGGACAGCTTTCTGGGCCGTTTCAGACAGAGCAGCTCCTCCAGTTCCAAGCTGGGTCTGCCCCAACCCAGTGAGTGAGGAGGGGCGCCAGCGGCCTGGGTCTGGGAGGGGGGGGTGGGGGGGGTGGTGGCGGCTGCGGCGGGGCAGAACGTTGGCTCAGGTGCAAATTCACCACCTGGCTGGGCCGGGCCTAGCAGATGGGAAGAGGGCTTCCTGGAGGTGGTGTTTGGCTTGGCTCTGGAGCGTGGGCAGGATTTCACGAAGCAGGAGGACGGCAAGACGGCATTCCCAGCACCCCCGGTGGGCAGAGGTCTGGAGGGACGTGTAGAACCAAAAGTCTCCTGCAGAGGCCCGTTAGGAAGGGGGCTCAGGGGGGCTCAGGGGGGCCAGGTGTCGTTAGCACAGGAAGGGGCCTGCCTGCGAGGCTGGAAGGAGACAGGAGCCCGTCTTCTGTTCCCTCCCCGGCGTCGGGGGAAGGGGGTGTGCAGGTCTTTCACGAGTGAGTAAATGAAGGCACACTGTTGGTCAAACCTAGGAAGCCCCCAGCTCCCCTCCCCCCACCCCCGGGCAGGGCCCAGGTGTCCCCAGACAGGGCCCCCAGTCCGCACTTTGCACCTAGCTCTCTTTCTTTTCTTTTTTTTTTTTTTTTTAAGATTTTTTATTTATTTGTCAGAGAGAGAGAGGGAGAGAGCACAGGCAGACAGAGCGGCAGCAGAGGCAGAGGGAGAAGCAGGCTCCCTGACAAGCGAGGAGCCCGATGTGGGACTCGATCCCAGGATGCCGGGATCATGACCTGAGCCGAAGGCAGCTGCTCAACCCACTGAGCCACCCAGGCGTCCCCCTAGCTCTCTTTCTTGAGGCCCGAGTCTCCCATCCACACTCGGGCCCTGGGGCCTGACTGTGCTGTGGCTACTGCCCACCCCCTCCCTGCTCCTGGCAGGCATGGTCCAGGCCTGGGACAGGCCAAGTTCACGGGCTCCGGCAGCTGGTTGAGGGTGAAGATCTCAGCAGCCCTCACTCCATCTACCTGTCTGTCCGAGAGGGACAGACTGAAGCCTAGAGGCCCAGATGGGAAGCAGGTGGCTGCTGGGCAAGACCTCTTCCCCAGGGCGGCCGGCCGGGCCTGGAGGGCGTCCTGGAGTGGTGGGCTGGCACCCAGGAGAGGCCAGGAGGAGGCAGGGGAGCCAAGTGTGGAGAGATGGGGCCAGGGCCTGGCAGGGAGGAGGCCCGAGCACTCCCAAGCCGCTGGGGCCACACTGAGCCTGCCCAGTGGGAGCCCCAGGCCCCACCCCTCAGCTCAGAAGGAGCTGGGAGCCGGTTCTCAGCACCAGCCTGGGAACCCGAGACCACAGAGGGGGTGGTAATTGCTCCCCGGTGTCTACAGGGCATGTGGGCGATGGGAGAAGCCGCTCTTAAATCTCCCCCACGCCAGCCCCTGAGCCCAGGCGGGGCCTCACCAGGCAGCTCCCAGCCGGCCCACCGGGGAGACAGACAGACAGACATGGGGCTGTGAGCCCCAGGAGCCCGGGACCCTGTGGGCCATGTCACGTTGATGTCACCCACATGCACAGTGGCTTGCACAGGGCACAGCCGCAGGGAGGGGAGTAGTGATGGGGTGGGGGGCGTCTGGTAGCAGGGGACTCAGGCAGTGAGGTGAGCCTGGGAAGTGGGTGGGGAGAGGAAGGTGGGTGGGGGAGGCACTCATCCGTCCACATGAGGGGGTGGGGGCTGTGGGGTGATCCTGGGGGGTGTCAGCCTGCCCGGGACCCCAGCCCCACGCCCAGCCTTCCCGGTTCCCAGCCCTGCTGGGATGCCATCGCCCTGGCAGGTCTAGGAGGGCAGGGCCTGGCCTGTGGCCTGTGGCTCCACTCCCAGGCTTCTCGGGGGCTCTGGAACTTTCTGGGCCATGACGCAGGCTCAGCCCCCACTCTGGGTGGTCCGAAAGGAGCAGACCCACAGGTCTGGGTGGAGGGAGCCAGGGGAGCAGGGGCAGGCCCGGGCGGGGGGTTTGGAACAGGGGAGGCCTTGGCCGTGTCCCAGGAGGGGGTGGCCAGGGCAGTGGTGCCAAGGGACCTGGCCGAACCTGACTTGCCCCCCTGCCCTCGCCCCTTAGGGACCATGCTGGGCCTCTGCGCCTCTGTGCAGCCCCTGACTCGCACCCTGGGGCCCACCGTGGGCGGTCTCCTTTACCGCAGCTTTGGGGTCCCCATCTTCGGCCACGTGCAGTTCGCTACCAATGTCCTTGTCCTCCTGGTGCTCTGGAGACAGCCTCTGCCCCAGAAGACGGACAAAGTCTGGTGACCACAGTCCCCGAGCACAGGCTGGCAATAAACCTTTCATGCAGCCTAATTTCCGCAAAGTCCCGTGGGTTGAACAGGGCAGCGGGGGTGAGTGCCAGAGGGATGGAGAGGCTGGAGAGCTTCCTGGAGGAGGGGCCGGCCACAGAGCCCCAGGGCTCCTGAGAGAGCAGCCTCCCGAGTCGACCTTGGGCGGTGGGCCCTGCCCCCTGGAGGGCATTGCCTTCCGGTTATTAGTCTGCCCGCACCCCCCCCCCCCCCCCCCGCCCCGCCACCCGGACAGCACCGCACTCGCCTCCGCCTGGAGCTTGCGGCCCACCCCCAGCCCTCTGCCGCTCGGCCTCAGGGCTAAGCATGCCGCTGCCCATTCGCCCTTGTCAGTCGCCCCACGTGAACGGAAACTGCTTGTTTTCGAAGATGAGGAGTTCGAGGCTTGGAGAGAGGTCTGGGGAGACGCCCGCACTCCCTGGTGGGGCGCCTGGTGGGTGGACCAGGCAGCAAGTCATGAGAGCTGGGGAGCCCCGTCCCTCCTCCTTCACCTCCCCACCCCCCCTCTGGGGAGAGGGGCACTAGGCAGGGGAGGCCAGCATGACCAGTCCAGAGAGAACAATCCAGTAGCAGGGACAGGCGACCCTGAAATCATGAAGGTCACCCCCCACCCGCCCCACACACAGGCTGCCTGGAAAACTGGTTGTTACAACTCGGGACCCCCAACCCCAGAATTCCGCGGTCCCGACCAGAGGGACCGCAGAGAGCAGAGGTCCGTCAACTCTCTTGGCCCAAGAGCTCAGACCAGACCAGCTTCTGTGTGAACCCCATGGGGGACGGGGCTCTCACCCTGAGTTTGACTGACCCTTAGTCCCCATAAAGGTCTGGGCGGGACAGGGGTGGATCTGAAGCCCGTGCAGGCCCCGGGGCCACTCTCTCTCCACTTCTCCAGAGGAACCCCTCCCCCAAACACAGGTCGTGTTCAGGAGAAAATTCCTTGCAAGGAATGGCTCCTCTTTTTGGAGATTTTATTCATTTGACAGCGTGCAAGCACAGGCAGGGGAGCGGTAGGCAGAGGGAGAGGGAGAAGCAGACCCACAGGGGCCGGCAGGGGCCCAGCAGCAGGGCTCGATCCCAGGATGCTAGAACCATGACCTGAGCAGAAGGCAAACGCTTAACAGACAGAGGCCCCAGGCGCCCCACAAGGGATGGTTCCCTCCGGCTTCCCAGCGAAGGGGCAGGCGCCCGCCCACTCCCTCGCCCCAGTCAGCCCTGAGACCCAGCAAGGAGGCCCACGGGGCTCCCCTGCGTCCAGTGTGAGTGACAAGACTTTAGGGCCCAATTTTGGTTCTTCACTCCCCACTCCAATGCCTCCCACCCCTGACATCCTTTCTGCTAGAAAGGTCCCCGAAATGAAGTTTCCCCTCAGCAGGCCGAGAACAATGTCCTGTTCTTCTGTCCTCTGGCTGGCTCATCACCAGCGGCTGGAGGAACTCACCTCCTGAGTCCTCCCCACCGGGCAGCCCCGAACACACTGTCTCGGCCAAGCCCAGAGGAGGCAGCTGGGCGGGCAACTTGTCAGCTGCCAACCAGGGGGAAAGGCCCAGGCCTCCCCTTACTTGCCCAGAAGCACACGGTGGGTGCCGGCCAGCAGGACCTGGCGGCCGCATGGCCAGGAGCGGCTGCGGCCACAGGGTGGGGTGGGGTTAAGGGGAGCGCAGACGGGCAAGCGACCAGAGCCCTGAGGCTTTCTTCCAGAGGGCTGCGGGGCAGGTGGCGAGTGGGTGGTGGGCGGTAGTGGGGGTCTGCGGGCAGAGGAGGTGCACAGACCTCAGTTTGAATGACCTCCGTGGGCAAGCACCGGCCCCGTCCTTCCAGCCTCCCGTCCTCCGAGGCAGAGGCACACCCAGGAGCAGAAGTCAGCTGGGGCCAAACCTCGGGGCACTTCCCAGCCTCGGGAGAGGCTGCTTGGCAAGGAGGGTGTGAACAGGGCCGCGCGGATGACACTGCGCTCATTCAGAGTGCTCTCCCCGTGCCCTTCAGACGCCAGGGTGGTGGCTCTCCCCACCCCCACCCGACGCCCACGGGAAGGGCCTCCAGCCCGCGGCAGGAAGCTCACCGCACCACGCCTGGGCTGGTAGAAAAGGGAACAGATCAAGCAGTTTATTTGGAATGAACACATTGATGCAAAAACGAAATATTACGACAGATGGTTCCATGATAACCACCCAAATAAATACATAGATAGTCTGATAATTTAAGGCGCCCGCTCAGCGGGCCGAGGCTCTGTGGCTCCGCGTGGGAAGATCCTTCCGTGTTGGTCAGGGACACGGCTCCCGGCCTTTGTCCTCACTGTGGTCAGTGGGCGGGCGGCCCGCCCAGGTCCCCCGCAGTCCCGGGCGCCCCCCCCCCCGGGTTTCCTGCCGGCGGCGCGGCCCCGCGTCGGCCCGACTCGTCCAGTGCGCGGCTCCTGGAGGGGTGGAGGGAGAGCAGGCGGTTAGGGCGCGCGGCGAGCGGCCGGGGTCCCGCCGGCGGAGGGTCCCCCCGGGGCCCCGCGCGCGGACACGCGGCCGCGGTCCCCCGCGCGACGGCCTCCCGCGACGGCCGGCACTCACCGCGGCGGCGCTCAGGGCGCGCGGGCCGGCCGGGGCTCGGGGGGCGCGGCGGGCGCGGCGCGCTCCTGGCGGCTGCGGAAGTCCTGCAGGGCGCGGCGGTTCTGGAAGTCGATGAGCGCCAGCGTGATGGCCGCGTTCCAGCAGCTCTCGCCCGCGCAGCGGAAGTCGATCTCCTTGCGGTCGGTGGTGACGATGGTGAAGTAGACGTACTTGCCGGTGCGCTCCACGCAGTCCACCTTGAGGATGGAGTGGAAGCGCAGCTCCTTGGGGCGCGCGCCGGGCCCGGCGGGGAACAGGCGCAGGCGGTCGGGCGTGAGCACGCCGCGCTTCTTCTTCCACAGCTGGAACAGGCTGTCGCTGCGCTTCTCCAGCTCGCCCTCGCGCAGCACCTCGCCCGGCGTCCTCATGGCGGCGGCGGCGGCGAAGGTGCGGGCGGTGCGGACGCTGCGCCCCGGAGCGCCCGGCGCCGCCTTTATGGGGCCCCGCCTGGGCCCGGCCCCGCCTGGGCCCGGCCCCGCCCCCGCGCCGAGGCCCCGCCCGCGCCCCACCCCTACCCCGGAGACCGCGCCCCCGTCGTCCGCGGCCGCGTGAGACCGCGCGCTCAGCTCCTTTCCTCCGACGCCCGGGCCCCGGCCCCGTGGGGTGACTCGCGGTCCCACCCCGCCCCGGACGCCGGCCCCGCGGAGGAATGCGCTGCGGCCGGCCCTGCCCGCGGTGACTCACCGCCGGGGAGCCCCGGGAACCGCCGGGGGACGGGGCCGGCCCAGGGCGGGGAGTCCGCGGGGCCCGGACCCCCACCCTCCTCCAGGCGCCCGGGCAGCTAGTCCTCGCGCGCCCGGAGGGCCCTTCCCGGGGAGACCCTCCGATGGCCCTGCCCGTCCGGCCTGCTCTCCCACCTCCACCCCCGCGGACCGCCCCTGGCCGGACCTTCCGTCTTCCCCACCCCGGGGCCAGGCCGACGCGGAGAGCGGGTGCTGTGAGCCTGCTTTTTCCTCCGTGAAGTGGGGACAGTAACACTTCTGTTCGATGAGGGACGCAGGGACAGTGCCCCGTAAACGTGAGGGAGCCTCCTCCCCCCCTGGGGTCCTGCCTTCCCGCGCCCTCCTGCCGCTGTCCCCCGCCTGCAGCCCCACCCCAGGGGGGAGGGGGCCTCCGAAAGGCCCTGTGGGTGCCGAAAGCTCTCTGCTGGTGCTGGAGGCTCAGCCTGGGGCGGGCGGTGGGGGCGGCTGAGTCATGCTTTCCAGTAGGAAGGGGGGGGCGGGCTTTTCATTTACTGTCTCCCTTTTATAGGAGCAGGAGTGACGGCTGGCCCCGCCCGGTTCCCAGGGGTGGGGGTGGAGTCCCGGAGAGGGTCCCCGGCGGCCAGGGCCTCTTCAAGACACCCACTTTCCAACACCCCCACCTAGCTGTGACCCTGGGAAAGGACTGCACACCGAACAGGAAGGGCCCGGGTGCCCTGGCGGGCAGGGACAAGGTTGCAGCGCAGGTGCAGGTGCGGAGGAAAACCCAGGTCCCTGCTTCAAAAAGTTTTCGCCCTGGTGAGGGCAGAGCGCAGGACGGGCCGGTGCAGGTTCAGGAAGCCGCCCCGCAGCTGAACTGACCCTGCCCCAGCCACCCCTGCCGCGTGGCCTGGGAAGTCCCCTAACCTCGCGGAAGGCAGTCCAAAACCCGGCCCTTCAGGGTCACCGGCTGGGACGAGGGGCTTGGGCTAGGAACCTGAGGACAGGAGCCCTGCCTGCCCTCAGGAAGGGGGCCCTGGGGGCCCGGGGCCACGAGGACAACTTGAAGGAGTCCAAGGGGAGGGGGCGGTGCCTGCGGAGCTGCCCAGGGGTGCTCTTCTCAGCCCCATTTCACAGAGAAGTGAGGCCTTAGGGAGGAGGGGGCCTGGTGGGAGGGGTGGGGCGGGGGTAAGAAGAGGTGGGGGGGCTTGAGGTACTAGAGGAACAGACTGAGTAGGAGGAAGGGGCTGTGGGGGGCCCCCCAAACCAGGGGGTGCCCAGTAAGGCGAGGTGAGGCCGCATCTCCTTGCCTCCCACTGGCCAGGCCTCTCCGGAGCGTTGGCGGGCCAGCGACCTGGGGGGTGCTCTGACAAGTGGGCGTCACAGGGAGCTGGGAGGAGCCTTGGCCTCCAACCTGGGAGGGAGACCCTGGGGCAGGACAGCCTGGGCGGGGTTCCCAGATGGTTGGGGGTCAGGAGCTGGGCCCACCCAGGCAGCTTCACTAGCAATAGCTCCTGCCCTAGGCCAGCAGAGGCCCCGTGGGCCACCTGCCGCCGCCAGCTCCTGCTCCCAGCTAAGAAGCGTGAGCCTGGAGCCAGGAGAGGGCCCCGTGCCCGCCCCCCAGTAGGCCCATCGGGAGGACCCTCTGGGGCCGGGAGTTGGGAGGGATGAGGAGGACGCAAAGCACTGCCCTTGTAACCCCAAGGGAAGACCTTTCGGAGGAGCTCCCTCCCTGAGCCATTTGGTGGCCAGGAGCCCAGAGGACCCAGCAGGGAGACAGCTTCCCGCAGCGCAGTGGGGGCCCTGCTGCGGATTCGGCCTGCACCCCATGGGGAGCTGCGGCCCACCAGGCTTCTTGGCCACATGGGTGCTGGACGGCCAGCCACCTGCTGGAGAGACAGGGGCCTCATTTGCCCTCTTTGCCCCTGTTGGTCCCCCAACAAGGTGGGGGCTGCTGGGGTCACTTTCTTAGAGTTGCAGGGAACGGAGGGTGGGGTCTCAGAGAGGTCAGGGCCTCGGCTGAGGGTCCCGCTGCCAGCCTGTGCACCCCAAGGCCCCGGGGCAGGAAGTAGCCCCACCCAAATGAACAGGGAGGGGCCTTGCCAGGCTTTGCCTCCCATTGGTGGCGTCAGGCAGTGTAGGTCAGAGCCAAGTTTACTAATATTTATCCAAGGGTCGCATCCGGGATTCACGCACAGCCTGCCTGGGGGGACACCCGCTCCTGCCGCCAGGCAAACAGGCTAGTCCCCAAACATCCGGCCAGGGACCCTTGCTGTCCTGTCCGGCTGGGTGAGGACGTCAGACGGCCCAGACAGAATGATGGCACCTCTCCAAAACGCCCCTCGTGAGCTCATCCATGCAGCCGTGAGAGGCCGAGCCCGGGAGGCTCTCGCCCAACCAGCCTGGGAACAGCGGCCTGTGAGGAAGCCATGCGTCACGGCAGCCCAGGGCAGCCCAGGTGCCCCGGGCTCGATACCACCCTCTTCCTGTGGGAGGCGGTGCTCAGAACAGCCCCGGGGTGAGCCTCCCTGCTTCCCCTGCCTGGGAGACTGTCTCCCCTGATCCCCTCCAGGAAGTCCCTCGGATCGTCAGAGCCTACCCTAAGGCCTACTCCCACCAACTGTGCAACTGCTGGGCCTTGGGGTCCCGGTGGTGGCTCCAGTGTGAACCCCAGGAGGGTGGGGGAAGTCCACGCACCTGGGAGGTGGCCTGATGCCACCTGACCCGAGGCTGACACGGCCCACTGGCCACCGCTGCCTGCCATCAGGCCCGCCCTTGATCTCTCTCCTCCCATCAGGAACCTGGGAAAAGGGAGAGGCCCGAGGGCGGGAGGCGAGTGTCATCCCGACTTTCACCGTCAGCCTGGTTTCGGCCGCAGAGCTGTGTCCCTGTCCCCCTCTCTGGTTCTCGGGGGCCTCAGCAGGAGTCTGACAGGTGGGCCTCCACACGAGACACTCGTCAGTGAGAAACACGGCCCCTGCCCAGAGCACCTTTCTCCTCCTCGGCCTCGGGCAAGCTCCTATCCATCCTGCACTACCTCGCTCAGCTCCTGGAATGCAGGGACAGGGTCGCAGACTGTGGGGCCCCCCAGGCCCCAGCCCAGGTGCTCAGGAAAGGTTCTGGGAAACGTGGACCTAAAAAGCATCGACCTCATTGTCCCAGAAATGTGACTGTTCAGAGCAACTGAAGTCAGTGGGGGCTCTGCGTGCTTGTCAGAGATAATCAGGGAGGGGTCGGGGCTGGGGGGCGAGGGCCAGGTTGGGGAGAGGAGCAGGAGCCGACAGGCATGCCCACACTACGGGCAGACTGCCCAGGGCCTGTTTCACGGGGACACAGGATCTTTCTGGAAGCCTGAATGAAACGAGGATGCACAAAATACAGGGAGTGAGAGCAGAGATGGACAAGCTGTGGCCGCCGCCTTCTGGATGGTGTCAGCCCTTGCAGGCCCCCAGGCTGCATCATCACAGGACAGAAGGGACATCTATGCCTGTCCACTCCACCCCCCAAAGGTGGACTGCTTACTATTATTTACCCAAGGGTCCCACCCGGGATTCACACGGCTGCCTGAGGGGACTCTCACTCCTGCCCCCAAGCAAGTAGACTGGTCCCCAAATGGGAAGCAACCCACGTCCGTTGACAAATGAATGGAGTCACAGGACATGGTCTGTCCACACACTGGACTGTCCCTCAGGCTGAACACAGAGGGACACACTGACACCGGCCACAGCTGGATGGAGCTGGGGGACGTGATGCAGAGTCAAAAGGGCCAGACACAGAGGGACAAATACTTCAGGATCCCACCCAGATGGGTCCCTAAAGTCTCCAGATTCACAGGCACAGAGAGTGAATGGTGGGTGCCAGGGGAGGGAGGGGGGTCGGTGTCTCAGGGGGACGGAGCGTGGACAGTGGGCTCCGGGGCTGGGGGTCGGGGTCTCAGGGGGACGGAGCGTGGACGGTGGGCTCTGGGGCTGGGGGTCAGAGTGGATGGTGGGCTCTGGGGCTGGACAAGTGTTGGTGTCTCAGGGGGACAGAGGGTGGACAGTGGGCACCAGGGCCAGGGGAGGGACAAGGGTCGGTGTCTCAGGGGGATGGAGAGTGGACAGTGAGCGCTGGGGCCGGGATGGTGGTCGGTGTCTTGGGGGACAGAGGGTGAACGGTGGGCGCTGGGGCCGGGGGAGGGATGGGGTCAGTGTCTCACAGGCACAGTTTCCCTTTGGGAAGATGGGAAGGATTTGCACAGGGGCGGTGGGGACGGCCGCACAACAGTGTGAATGCTCGTGCCCAAGCCGCGCGCTCAGACAGGGAAGACGGTACGTTTCTGTGTATTTTGCCAGTTAAAGAAATGTATTGACACGTGAACACGCACGCGTGCCCTGGCAGGAGCCTGCCGTGTTCCCTAACAGAAAGACGCGGCCCTGTGCTGTTCTCTCTGACCCGCGTCCCGGGCAGTCCTCCGCGGGTCCCCCCGTCGGTGCTCAGGGGGCGCAGTGTTAGGCGATTCTCAGAAGCGACAAAGGAGGCCGCGTGAACGTTCCTGGACCGCGCACACGCGTGCACAAGGTCACGGGACAGACTGCAAGAGGTGGGGCTGCTCATGAACCGCGGCAGCTCTGAGCCCGCCCACCGGCCAGCTCCCACTCCCACCCGAACGTGCTGGGCAGCCGGCATTCGTGCAACTTTTCTCCAACCCTGCGGGCAAACCTGGGGT